TAAAATCCAACCTTTCCCATCCCTAAAATCCAGCCTTTCCCATCCCTAAAATCCAGCCTTTTCCCATCCCTGTTCCCATGCCCCTGTTCCTGCTATTCCCTGGCTCCCCTGGGATGAGTCGGGATCAGCCGGGGCGGGTTCCAGGCAGGGAGAGCTGCTTTAGTTCTTTCCGGGAATATTCCTTTGGAATATTTGTTTTGGAGATCCTCGGGATGCTTTAGACCCCTCGGGATCAAGGAGGAGAAGAATCCTGAGGGGAATTATATAAATATAAAATATAATATTGATATAATAATAATATATAATAATATATAATAATATAATAATATACATTATATAATATATATAATATAATGCAATATAATAATATATAATATAATATAATAATATATGTAATATAATATATTATATATATAAAATATATAATATATAATATAATATAATATAATTAAATTACTAATTAAAAAATAAAATTAAATAAAAATATTTTGAACAGTCTCCCAAAAACCAAACAACAACCAACCAAGGATTTATATATATATAATATGTAAAATATAAAATATATAATATATACTATATATTATATATAAAATATATAATATAATATAATATAATATAATATAATATAATATAATATAATAACTAATTAAAAAAATAAAATTAAATAAAAATATTTTGAACAGTCTCCCAAAAACCAAACAACAACCAACCAACCAAACAAGGAATTATATATATAGAATATATATAATATATAATATATTATATATAATATATATAATATAATATAATATAATATAATATAATATAATATAATATAATAACTAATTAAAAAATAAAATGAAATAAAAATATTTTTAACCGTCTCCCAAAAACCAAACAACAACCAACCAACCAAACAAGGAATTATATATATAGAATATATATAATATATAATATATTATATATAATATATGCAATATAATATAATATATTATAATATAATATAATATAATAACTAATTAAAAAATAAAATGAAATAAAAATGTTTTTAACCGTCTCCCAAAAAACAAACAACAACCAACCAACCAAACAAGGAATTATATATATAATACATAAAATATATAATATATAGTATATAGTATGTAGTATATAGTATATAGTATATGATATATATAATATAATATAATATAATATAATATAATATAATATAATATAGTAACTAATTAAAAAATAAAATGAAATAAAAATATTTTGAACAGTCTCCCAAAAAACAAACAACAACAACCAACCAAACAAGGAATTATATATAATAATAATATATATAATACATAATAATAATATATGTTATGTAATATATATAATATATATAATATAATATAATACTATATAATAATTTATATTATATAATATATTATATATAAAATATGTAATATATATAATATAATTTAATTAAATAACTAATTAAAAAATAAAAATGAAATAAAACTCTTTTGAACAGTCTCCCAAAAAATCCACACCAACTGGGAATTGGGATTTGGGGGATTTCCTGGCTTGGGGAGGGTCCATCCCTGAGCTCTCCATGAGGGTCTGGTGGCCATTCCCACCTGGAAAACCGGAGCCAGCCCCTCCGGGGGTTCTCCGGGTGTTTTGTGGATCCCAAAATCCCGGAATTCCGTGTTTTTGGCAGGAATCAGGATGATTTCCAGCTGGTGCGGAAGCTGGGCCGGGGCAAGTACAGCGAGGTCTTCGAGGCCATCAACATCACCAACAACGACAAGGTCGTTGTCAAGATCCTCAAGGTGTGTCCCGGGAAAAAACGGGAATGCTGGAAGGGGAAAAACCGGGAATGCTGGCCCCGGGAAAATTCTGGAATGCTGGTTTGGGAAAATCCTGGAATGCCGACCTGGGAAATCCTGGAATGCTGGTTTGGGAAAATCCTGGAATGCTGGCCTGGGAAAATCCTGGAATGCTGGCCCTGGGGGAACTAGGAATGCTGGGCTGGGAAAATACCGGAATGCTGGCCCCGGGAAAATTCTGGAATGCTGGCCTGGGAAAATCCTGGAATGCTGGCCCTGGGAAAATCCTGGAATGCTGGCCTTGGGGGAACTGGGAATGCTGGCCCGGGAAAAACGCAGAATGCTAGTTTGGGAAAATCCCGGAATGCTGGTTTGGGAAAATCCTGGAATGCTGGTTTGGGAAAAACCTGGAATGCTGGCCCTGGGGGAACTGGGAATCTGGCCTGGGAAAATTCTGGAATGCTGACCTGGGAAAACCTGGAATGTTGGCGTGGGAAAAACCCAGAATGCTGGTTTGGGGAAAACCCGGAATGCTGGCCTGGGGAAAACCTGGAATGCTGGCCCGGGAAAATCCTGGAATGCTGGCCTTGGGGGAACTGGGAATGCTGGCCTGGGAAAAACCTGGAATGCTGGACCAGGAAAATCCCGGAATGCTGGCCTGGGAAAATCCTGGAATGCTGGCCTGGGAAAAACCCGGAATGCTGGCCCGGGAAAATCCTGGAATGCTGGCCCAGGAAATACCTGGAATGCCGGCCTGGGAAAATCCTGGAATGCCGGCCCTGGGGGAACTGGGAATGCTGGCCTGGGAAAATCCCGGAATGCTGGCCTGGGAAAATCCTGGAATGTTGGCGTGGGGAAAATCCTGGAATGCTGGCCTGGGAAAATGCTGGAATGCCGACCTGGGAAAACCTGGAATGCTGGCCTGGGAAAATCCTGGAATGCTGGCCTGGGAAAATCCT